TTCCAATCCATGAGCATGGGATATTATTCCACTTGTTTGTGTCATCTTTGATTTCTTTGAGCAGTGCTTTGTAGTTTTCATTGTCTTTCACGTCTCTGGTTAGGAAGATGCCAAAGTATTTCATTCTTTTTGTGGCTACTGTGAATGGGATTGTGCTTTTTATTTGGGTTTCTGTTTGTTTATTATTGGTATAAAGAAATGCAATTGGGTCTACAAGGAACTCAAATATGCTGAAAAGAATAAAACAAACAACCCCACTACAAAGTGGGCAAAAGATATGAACAGACACTTCTCAAAAGAAGACATATGAGCAGTCAACAGACACATGAAGAAATGTCCAACCTCACTAATCATCAAGGAGATGCAAATTAAAACTACACGGAGATACCACCTAACTCCAGTCAGAATGGCCATTATCAATAACTCAAAAAATAACAGAAGCTGGAGAGGATGTGGTAAAAAAGGAATACTGTTGGTGGGAGTGTAAACTAGTGCAACGTCTGTGGAAAGCAGTGTGGCGATTCCTAAAAGCTCTAAATATCAACCTCCCATATGACCCCACAATCCCCCTACTGGGAACAAACCCTGAAGAACTCAAGTCACTCTATAAAAAAGATACCTGCACACATATGTTTATCGCAGCAATGTGTACAATAGCAAGAACCTGGAAGCAACCATGCTGTCCATCAAAAGAGGACTGGATTTAAAAAATGTGGTACATATACACAATGGAATACTATGCAGCCATAAAAAAAGAACAAAATCATGAACTTCGCAGCAACCTGGATGAAATAGAGTTTATAATACTGAGTGATCTCCCACAGAAACAAAGATCTGAGTATCACATGTTCTCACTCATAAGTGGACCTTGAACATCTATCGTACTACTATAAGAAAAGGATTGACAGTGGCAGGAAACTATGAGGGGGGCAGGGAGGGGAAGGGAGGTGGGATTACAGTAGTCAATATCTTTCTGGGAATGGGGGGATACCCCTTATCAACAAGGGTGCCTGGACGATGCATATTTGTATACCTAACCCTTAACTGTACCCCACAATTTTAAAATAAATAATATGCTTGTTTTTTTTTTTTTAAAAAAAGAATGAGATAATCACTGGGGAAGGGAGTTAAAAGAAAAAAGAAGGGGCCCAGTTCTATGCTCTAATGAACATGAATATTTAATACAGAATAGAAGAAGAGAAGCCAACAAAAGAGCCTGAAAAGCAGAAAGTCAAGAGAGATAACTGTCACAGAAACTGAATGAACAAACCAAAGAAAGAGACAAAAAATGAGAGAGAGAGAGAGAGAGAGAGAGAGAGAGAAAGAGAGAGGAGGAGGAGGAGGAGGAGGAGGAGAAGGAGGAGGAGGAGGAGGACAGAAGAAGAAGATGACAGGAAGGACGGGAGGGAAGAAGGGAGGAAGGAGGGAGAAAAAAATGCTTTCAAAGATGAGACTGGGACCAAAACGTATTCATCTATGTCTGAAGTCAGAGTTCCAATATTGCTTATCTGTAAAGCTGTCCTATCAGTCATACAATTCATGTGACAATGAGTCATGGAGTGCTATAAAATCTTTTGTTTCTTCTTAAATCATGATTTAAACATGCCAAAGAAATTGGATTATTTCATGTAATTGTATCTTCTTTCTGAGGAGTGACTGATGACTTAGTCTTCTTTCTGATCCCATTGTGATCAGTAAATATTTGGCACTCAGTATATATTTTCCAGAAAAGACTCCTGGGGAGAGCAGGTGTGTACCTGTGCTCATATAAACATTTTCTGCTCCACCCACACAGACTATAAAACAAATGCTTTACTAAATAAAGTACTTGCTATTCTACAGAGGCTGATGGGCTATACTTGCCAAAAGCCATGCAGTTGTAGGATAGGCTACACTGGGGTTCTTAACTGTCTTCTAGTCACAGCCCTTTAACAATTTGGTAAAAATTAGAAATCTTCTCTCTCCTACCCCTTAAACACATATATACACTAATTCATGCACTCCTAAAAATTAAGAATCCTCTTCCCGACCCCTAACAAGTAGGTATGTTATATATGTATGCATACACAAAATGTCAGAAAGTTCATGGGTTCCCCTAGCCCACAAACCCAACAACAGAGCCTTGGAGTCTGAATACCAGGAACGAAGAAAGCTTCTCAGTAATTGGGACAGTGCAACTCTATAATTCAACTGCCTGCCACAGAGCTAATATTCAGTGAATATTTACCGACCCAAGCAGCCACTCTAAAGGGCATCAAAATATACCTCCACACTCAAACCCAAATGCACATATATCCTTTTGGCATTTGGCATTTATTTTTTTCATTTGTTCACTCAACAAATGTTTATTCAGTGCCTATTAAATACTTAAGTACAGCAGGAAACTCCCAGAAGAAAAGTTTGGAAAGGCTTTTACACTTGAAATGTATCACTGGCTGAGGGTCCAGGAAATTTTAATGAAGATTCTATAAAGAATACTGATATTTCAGTGTTGGATGTAGAAATTTTATGGGATGCCCCAGGTCAAAAGCAAAATAATATCACAACAACATGTGTGGGGTTAGAATTAGGTGAAAAATACTGTTGCTTCTATTGGATGATTTTTGAGGTAGTATCTGAAATTTTCTAAATTTACCTTTCCCTTCTCTACTTAAAGCCTCAAATTCTAAGCTGAGAAATTCATGCAGAGTCAAGATGGAATAACATGCAATCTCTGACCATGAGGGGAACAAAAATCTTCTAGGGAGTGTGGGTTGATAGTAATTGCAGTCAGCATAAAACAGTCTTTAATTGAGGTCCAAGTAATTATTCTGCAAACACAAAGGAATGAATAATTAAATCCAATTTCAGGAGAGGAAAGGACCTAGGATATTTTAAGGAAGAGTATGGTATTTGAATGAAATACTGAAAATGAAGCAGAGGTACCATAGGAGGAGAATGGAGAGGAGAGCACAGGAGGAAAGAAGAATATAAGTAAAAGCAGGGTAGTGCAATAACTCTGAAGGCTCTTGGAGAAAAGAAAATTCCATAAACATGGATTAAGTTCTTCTAATAGAAAAGTAAGAGAACCTTTCCTACTCTTATCTTCTTCTAATATCTTTCATATACTAAATGATGATAGAGAGATAGATACAGATATATAGATACAGATATAGATACATAGATATAGATATGGTACTCTCATAACCAGGAATCTGGTATTTATTCGTCAGTCGAGAGATATGTAAAGTTAGTGAGGTACAATGAAAGTATTTGAATGTCAATGAATGTCAAAGGTATAAAGAATGTCCTTGTGCACTGGGGAATATTAATGTTAGATAAACTTTTAGAAATAGATTTGACGTGCAATGTTTAAGTTGTGACAGATACTCCCAAATTGCCTACATTGAAAAAAATGTATGTTCCCATTAACAGTTTATACTGTACACATTTCTCCATATCACTGACTGATGCTTGATATTATAGAAATTTAAACTTTCTGTGGTACTTGTTTTTTTTCATTTTCAATCATTAAAAAGGTTGAGCAGGTATCTCATCATATGTGTATATGATAGTTGGATTTTTTTTCAGAGTTGCCTTCTCTTATTGTCTATTTTTGTTTTCTAATGGGGTGGTTCTTTTTTCTTATTAATCTGTATCCAGTCTCTGTATATTATAGCCACAGCCTGTTGACTGCAACTAAGTGTTAAAAATAATTTTTCCAAGACTTCTGTTTGTATTTAAACTTCCTTCACGGTATCTCTCATCATTCAGAAGTTTAAAACTTATATAACCAAATCTGGCAATTTTTTTAACGGTTTCTAAGTTTTATATAAACTTTAGAAAAATATATTATAGCCGGGTTCGGTGGCTCAGCCTGTAATCCCACGCCTTTGGAGGCTGAGGTGAATGGATTGCCTGAGCCCGCGGGTTCGAGACCCGCCTGGGCAGTGAGACCTCATCTCTACAATAAATCAAAAAATCAGCCAGGCATGGTAGTGCATGCCTGTAATTCTGGCTACTTGGAAGGCTGAGGTGGAAGGATCGCCGGAGCCCAGCAGGTCGAGGCTGCGGTGGCCGGTAGCGGCCACTGCACTCCAGTCTGGGCGACAGAGTGAAATTAAATGGCTGAAGAGAGGGGGTAAGGTATGAGAAGGGTTAGAGCCAGAACAAAGATAGGAGAACAGAAAGAAAAGGCTAGTTTTAGGAAGGTCGAGCATGGAGGTTAGAGGAGCATAAAGGAGAGGGCAAATGTATATACCAGAAGAAAGCTATAATCCTGTAAATTGCCATAACTCCTAGAAAAAATGATACTATCAGGCATTTTCAATCATTAATGTTTTTGTATATCTTTCATAATAGGCAAAGAGAGAACCTGAGAATAACCTAAACCTACAGTATATTCATTTCCAATGTCAACAACATTCTGTTTTTTTCTTCTTTCTTTATAAAGCTATTCAAGTGGGACCAGGCATGGTGGCTCACGCCATAATCCCAACTCTTCAGGAGGCTGAGGTGAAAGGATTGCTTGAACCCTGAGGTTTGAGACTAGCCTGGGCAATACAATGAGGATCCCATGTCTACAAAAAACAAAAAACAAACCATCCGAGTGTGCTATCTGCCTTGAAGAAACCCCTGTGCTATTTACTACTACATTGTTTTTCAACCATGGCAATTTATCTTACTTTCTAGTTTCTACTTACACAGTATTCAAATGTGACTCCATGACAGAATACATGGTTTCTATGGTCACCGCTTCTTTTGGGGCAAGAGTTTACTTTCCTTAGCATAATGTCTGTCCCAGAAAACTGTATCCCCCAAAGAGAGGACCAAATCTGGCTAAATGTCAACATATTTGATCTTTTAAACCCTGATTTACGTAACAGTCACACATCTCCCTTGTATTGGCATTTAGATCAATGTTCAACTAGGAGGTTTTGGCTGTTGAATCAGAGGAATTAATGGGTTCTTCCTCTGAATTATTATTCCTGTTGTTTTCATGTTAACGCTACTTGTCATACCAAGATACATGTCCAGTGAGATTAGAAAGATTCTCACTATTATTTTCTGTCTGTCTACATAGCAACATGTAGCATTTAGGACAGATAAACTTACTGCTTGGAACTTAAAGTTGATTTCAAAGATTGTAACTCTATCAGTAAAAAATCCTGTTATTAGAAAAGACACTTCAAAACTGAGCCCTAAAAATTATCATGGGACCAAAAATATTAACTAACAGATGTTCATCACTGAAAAACAATATGAACTTTTTTGATCTGTTTATAACATTAACTCTATAAAAGCTGAGCCATGCATTTTCATAATACTCAACTCTTTTACTATGAAGCAGTCAATTGAACAGCATCAATAACAGCATGAAAATCAAGTTTTTTCTTTTATCTTTCTTCATTTAGCTTTCCATTAATTTTTCTGCATTTCAATATCAATGTTCAAAAGTTATATGAAAACATAAATGGGAGACGAGTGGGGTCAGGGAAGGGGTTTACCAGCAATGCCTGTCTGACAGTTGATCTGCACAGGCTTTTGTTAGTAGTTCTGAAAGGTATTCAAGCAGAGGTTCCATATGAGGCTCTGACACGATTTTTAGAAATCTTACAACATATAATTTTGTTGAATTTGCATTCAAATAAATGGTAGCTTAAGAAAACACACCTGCTTGTTTCTATGACAATAGGCACAGTGGAATGATGCTCACACAGATGTGATGATGAATGTCACCCTGTTATTGCTGTTATTTTTTTCCTTGAACAATTCATCAAATCTTCTCTGCTATCTATCATTCAACTATTTGATATGCCTCAGTAGACAAAACTATATCACAGAAGTCTCAAGGATGTTTTGCTAATACTAAGAAACCAGAAGACATCATTCTATTGTTACTCCGAGATAATTTTTATTGACTTTACTAATTGGATAATCAGCATTCTTCTATGATTCAGTTGTAAAATACTTCATAGCTAAGCAATAATAGGACTCTGTGGCTGCCTCCTAATCAATTTTGTTTCAAAATACTTATTGTTTTCAATAAAAATAATTTTTAATGTTATACTGTGTCTTAAAGTACAACAACATAATCTGGAAAGATCCAACTTACTGTAAAGATGCATCTTGAAATTGCACATACTTCAAAAACTTATTCTTAAATTTTTGCTTTTGTACAATAACCTCTATAACTATTGAGAGCTCTAAATTTCTTTAGAGGCATTATGCTATTACACATTTTAAAACACTAGCTAGCCTAGCTTTTCATGAGAAATTACAATGAAAAGTTACTAACAAATGTATATACTACCTCATATAAGGTGATTACACCGTATGTTTGAGTTGGTTCTCTCCACTGAAGAAATATCTTCTCTTCAAAAGTACTTCCTTGAATGGATTCAGTAGGAACAGCACCTGGAACTAAGCAGAGTGGGAGGAGATAAATGTTTGAGTAATAAACAAACAAAAAAAATCAAAGTAGATTTTTCTAGACCTGGCAGGTTTTAACCCCCTATTGAGACACAAGATTTTAATAACCCATACATACACTCAATTTTTCTTTTAAAGTTGTTATAACTAAAACCACTAGCTATACCATCTTTATTTTTAAATGTCATCATTATTTTAAAGTTTAATCAGTCAGAGCTCAGAAATAATATTTTAAATAAACTTTTCATTCTTAAAAAATAAATGGGGTAACCCCCTCGGGTCCCCTCACACTGTGGGAGCTTTTCTGTCCTCTTAATACATCCTGCTTTCAAAAAATAAAAAATAAATAAATGAAGTAGGATATGAAGCAGCGGGAATTCTCACACACCGCTTGTGGGAGATTGTGGTGGTATGGTCACTTTGGAAAATCATGTGGAAGTATTTAGTGAAGTTGAAGATGCATAGACTGTATGATCCAATGACTCCACCTCCAGAAACATTCTCTACTAAAATTCTGGCATATATGTATGTATCAGGAGACATATATGAGAATGTTAACATAAGCAGTGCTTTTAAATAATAATAATAGTTTGGAAACAAACCAAATGGTTCAATAAATTATGTTATAAATTGGTTATTCATATGATAAGTAGTTCAATAAACTGTTACAAATTGTGTTATAAATTGGCTATTCATGATAAAATACTGAAGAGTAAAAATAAATGACAGTTATATACATCATCATTGATGTACTTTACAAACATAATACTGAATGACAAAAGCATGTCAAAGTATATAAACTACTGTACTAATATATCTATTAAAAATACATACAAAATAAAAGTTGATGTAGATAAAGTTATTCAGTTTTTAAAAATTATTTTGTTAATGATATAGGAAATTTAGGGGAAGTTTGATGGCATTTTTTTCAAAACTTAAAATATGCAACGCCTTCTTTTAATTTTGCAAGAAAAATCTAACATAAGGGAAGATGGAAATTTACTTGCCAATTTCCTATAAAATAATATTTCATATTATTATACAATTATTTATCTCATCATTTTAAATTCTGCTTTTGAGTATGCCTCATATTATACATAATTCAGTGTACCAGTATGTCTATCCCATCTACAGGCTATCTATAATCTATAGTGTTTATAAATATATATATATATTTGGAGGAGCATGATCAAATTGTTTGGTGATTTAGTGAGTAATCAATAAATTGTTGGAGAGGACACACATGTCCTATTTACAGAATTTACAGTAATCAAGACAGTGTCAACTGGCATAAGGACAGATATATATATATATATATGAAGTTCAAAAATTAAGTTCACAAACTCATCCTTGAAAAAGTGCTACATACCTCATTGCTGAATATCACTACAATCAACTCTGAAGTATTCCCCTTGGGAAGCTAAGCACTGATGCCAATACCTAGTCCACTCTTCAAAGCAATTTTGGAACTCTTTTTCTGAAATGGCCATTAGAGCTGTCGTAGTATCACCCTTGATATCCTGAATGTCATCAAATGCCTTCCTTTTTATATTTCCTTTATCTTCAGGTAAAGAAAAAAGTCATCGGGGCCAGATCAGGTGAGCAGTGAGGGTGTTCCAATACAGTTATTTGTACAGTGCTGCCAATGGAAGCACACAGCGGCAGGTTCACATACTTAATTGTCAGATCTCAACAAATAACGATGACAGCTCTGATGGTCATTCCATAAAAAGAGTCCCAGAATTGCTTTAATGGGAAGACTAGGTGCTGGCATCAATGCATAGCTTTCTAAGGGGAGTATTTCAAAGGTGAGCATAGTGATATTCAGCAATGAGGTAGGTAGCACTTTTTCTAGGACGGTTCATGAACCTAATTGTCAGACCTCATTTCAGTGGAACAGAACTGAGAATCCTAGTAGCCAAAAAGGTCTTACATTTGCAGTCAATTGATTTTTAATAAGAGTACCAGGAAAATTCAATGAGGAGAGAATACTCCTTTCAACAAACGGTGCTGGCACAACTGGATATCCACATGGTAAAGAACGTAGTTGAATTCCTATTTCACACCATATATAAAACTTAAGCCAAAGTAGATGAAAAACTTAACTGTAAGAACTAAGACTATAAAACTCTTAAAGAAAGCACAGGTGTAAATCTTGATGACTTGGCCTAGGCAATAATTTCTTAGATATGACACCAAAGCATAAGCAACAAAAGAAAATATGGATAAACTACACATGATCAAAATAAAAAAAACTTTCATCCTTCAAAAGGTGCTATTAAGAAAATGAAAAGACAAAGCACAGACTGGGCAAAAGTTTTTGTATATCATATCTATAATAAAAGACTTGTTAAATACAAAAGGAACTATTAAAACCCTATACTAAAAAACAGGCCAATTATAAATGGGCAAAGGATCTATAGAAACAATTCTCCAAAGAAGATATACAAATGGCCAATAAGTACACTCAACATCATTAGCCAGCAGGAAACTACAAATAAAAACCACAATGAAATATCACCTCAAACCCACTAGTATTGCTATAATCAAAAGACAGATAATAACAGATGCTGGCAAGAGTGTAGAGAAAATGTAACTCCCATACATTGTTGGAAGAAATGTAAAATCATACAGCTACTTTGAAAATAGTCTGGCAGTTCCTTAATTGATTAAACATAGAGATTTATAACAAGACTTAGCAATCTGACTCCTAGCTATGTACCCAAGAGAACTGAAAACACATCAATTCAAAAACTTGTATGTGAATATTCCTAGTAGCATTATTCATAAAAGCCAAAAAGTAGAAACAAACCAAATGTTATCAACTAATAAACAGACAAGGAGATCTTAATAAAGCTTTTAAAAAGGAGGTTGGAGAAATGTTTTGAACTATGGGAAGATATGAACAGTTTTGTAAGGGTTGTTAAGATTGCCACAGGTCGCAAAGATTCCCTAGAATGTCTGAAGGACTCACAGGTAGTACAGAATTTTGAATTAAGGTGCTACGTATATGTAGATCTAGAACATTTACAGTTATTACAAACAACATCAAATATCGTTTTAAAAAATTACTGATTCAGAAGGGAGGCCTGGGTTCTGATTTAAATCTCTCTAGTATTTAAACTATATAATTTAGATAAATCATTCGGTCAACTCGGATTCAGTGAGCTGCCTCATTTCTAAAATAAAGTTGGATTAAGTTTATGTCTAATGTCCAAACCCTAAATAGTGCATAAATATGACAATGATTGCTATTCTAGGTTGAAAAAAATCTGTGTATGACTATACTGATGCAAAGAAAATCAAAGTATTTAAGAAGTGACACTGGTTAGTTTTAAGAAAATTTTAATTCCAGATTCTGAGACTCAAATGTTCATCATAATCAAAAGGTGAACTAAAACAGAAAACTCTATTGAGCCTCTTCCTTTTCACCTTGAAAGTGTCTATTATGAAGTCATCATTAGTTATCTCACAGCATAACAATAGCTATGATGAGTGGCTCTGTTATTTTTATGATGATTTTTTTATTTGAAAATATTTATTAATCTACGTGCAGATGTAAAGAGGGTAAAAACTTAGCGAAAAAACCCAAACCTCTGGTTTCATTCAATTAGTATAAAAGAGAGTAAAACAGTAATATAAAATGAGAAATATTCAAAATTCTGTTCATCAAGGTATATCTTAAAAGGATAAACATGTTAAAATGTACTGGTGGAGACACTGTAATGAATGGCATTGTAGAAATGTTGACAGGAAAATCTAAATGGGATTTATATAATCATTTCAAGGTCAGAAACTCATAAGGTAAATTTTTTTAAAATGCCAGATGATTAATTAAATTAGGAAAGACAATACCTCACAGGAATTTAGATCTAGTACCTATCTTTACAAGTTCTGAAAGTTCAGATATATAGATATAATAGCTAAGTTTGTATAATTTAGCTCTGTTCTGTCTTGTGTTTAACAGTAATAGAAAGATAAATCAATTTTTTCACGAATTTTCTGATAAAATAAACCATATTTCAATAAAAATATACTATGGTAAAACTCACTTATGTCCAATAAATTTTTTTTTCTTTTTTGAGTTGGAGTCTCACTCTGTCGCCCAGACTAGAGTGCAGTGGCCACTCCCGACCACCGCAGCCTCGACCTGCTGGGCTCCAGCGATCTTTCCACCTCAGCCTTTCAAGTAGCTGGAATTACAGGCATGTGCTACCATGCCCAGCTGATTTTTTTTATTTATTGTAGAGATGAGGTCTCACCAAGTTGCCCAGGTGAATCTCGAATCCGCGGGCTCAGGCAATCCACTCACCTTAGCCTCCCAAGGTGCGGGATTACAGGCTGAGCCACCGAGCCCAGCTATGTCCAGTAAATTTTAACCTTTGTTAATGGATAAACAAAGTGATCCCCTGATTTGTCTCTCTCCAAACTTGACAGTTTGACAATTATCCTATTTCTGTGTTTCTTCTGTCTTTTCTGAAGTCTTTTTTTTTAAAATTAGGAAATATAACTTGAAATAAAAGGTTTTTCTAATTAACTGGATGCTGGAGTGCTATGAAAGGAAGTAATGCATGCTCTGGCTTCAGAGACTAACAAGGTAATTGAAATACACAAAGTAACTCTCAACTCATGTTCTGATGGAACTTACAGGATTCCTAGCTCATGCCAACTCTCAATTTGAAACTCAAAAGTGTTCAATGGGTTCATGCTTCAGCAAGGTATCTGTGCATCTCTAGAAATGACTGCTTTTCATTTCTCTCATTGACTTATACATTACTGTTAATTGAAATATGAATTAAATATTTATCAACAAATATCTTATTATTTCAAAGATTGAGAAAATATTTTTTAGTTTTTATTACCTACTCAATATCATGCATATTGCTACAGAAGAAAAACAGATGGCTTCTCCTCTCAAGCAGTTTATGCTTAAAAGAAAAACATTTATATATATATAGCATAATGAACGAACAAGGAAGGATCACAATGAGTTTCTATGAGTCATTATAGTAACAAAGGTCCCTCTCTGGTAGCTACAACTAGGTCTCAATGCAAATTTCTTCTAACCCTAATATGACAGAGAATTGTTATTATTCTCACTTCTCAGATAAGAAAATTAAGGCTCAAGAGGTTTAAGGATCTTACCAAGTGCAAAGGAGGTCAGAAGGATGTAAGAGTAACATGGGCTGGAAGAGTTGGAGACAGCTTTATGAAGGACCTAAAACTTGAGAACTTTGGAAGGTACCGGAAAAGACAGAATTAAGAAACAGCCAGGTGGAAAGGCATTGGCAGACAAGAACAGACAGGCAACGAGGAAGAGTACAGGATGCATGGAGTGTGGCACAGGAGACCAACGCTGAGTGGACAACGTTGCAGAATGAGCTGCTGCAAAGAAGTTACTTCCTGAGTATGAGCCAAGAATATAGACGACCTTGAAAGCCAAGGCTCTGAAGTGAAAGACAAAGAGGAAGAGCCACTGAGGCTCTTGTAGAGAAAGTGACATGATCAAAGTGTATTTTAAAGATTTATTAGTGAGTGAGTAAGAAGGACACTAAAATGGAAAAAGGCTGGAACCACAAAGAAAGTTAAAAACAATTACAAAAATTTTGGCATAAAAGATGAAGATCTGAATACTTGCAGTAGAAGTTGAGAGAAAAGATTAAACTTTGGAAACAGAAACAACAGATGATAGGACTGGAGTAAACACAGACATACAGGGGAGGAAGGGGTCAGTGATGACTTGCTGGCAATGCTGAGGCCATCCTTCTCCTTTACTGGGAGACAAAGGACAGTTGGAAGAAATAGAAATAGGGCTTTTGGTCTTAGCATCAAGCGAAGACTCTCACCCACAATAAAACAACCATTTGAGAGGAACTAACACAAGCAGGACTTGAAGGGTAACAAAACAGAAAAGAGAGGAGTGCGTGAGCTCCTCATTTATTCTGGCTGTTTCCATGTCTTTCTTCTACAGCAATATGCATAGTGGTAGGTAGTAAAAACACTAAAAAAAAATATTATGTTAGATCTTTAAATTAAACAATAAAATATCATTATAAACATGTAATTCAAGATTTAATCAACGGTCAAAATTATATAATTAATTACATGAAGAAACAAAAAGCTAAACATCTATTTTTCTCAATAATAGTAAGTTTATTCATTTAGTGGTTTTCCAAGTTCTTTGCCACTTACTCTGATGCCTGGAAAACACATTTTAGTTCAAATGTATGAGACACTGCCATTTTATATTCTATGTAAGTTTGTTATTGTATACAAGGGTTCGCTGTATAATATGTGGAAAAGCATATTTATATCCATGCTATGAGATTCAAGGGGTGTAATATTTCTATTTTAAGTTATTTTGGAGGCTTATTGCTTTTATCTATTTATTTTTTAAATTAAATTTTATTTTTTATTATAAAGATGTGGGGTACAATTCAGAGTTAGGTATATAAACAGTGATTATGCAGGTACCCTTGTTGATGAGGTATGCTCCTCCCTCCCCTAGCAGTTTTCCTTAACTGGCCATCCCACACCCCCCAACAGTTTCCCATTACTGCCAATCATTTTCTTATAGTATTATAATTATTCAAGTTCTACTTATGAGTGAGAACATATGGTACTCTGTTCTTTGTTTCTGTGATAGATCACCGAGTATGATCAACTCCAAATCCATCCAAGTTGCTGCAAAGTCCATATATTTGCCCTTATTTATGGCTGCATAATATTCCATTGTGTATATATACCATATTTTTTTTATCCAGTCCAACTTCGATGGGCAACATAGTTGGTTCCATGTTTTTGCTATTGTGAATAGAGCTGTGGAGGTTTATTTCAATTGTGTAATATTTTTTTTTAATGAGTTGCTGGTGACATGTATGGTTTATTGGCCAAGTATTTGTTGATTAAGGTAATATCTAGTTTCAACATTGTTCCTATAGGAAAAAGTTATCTATTTCATGACCACCAGCTTCATATAGTTTCTCAACACCATGTTGAAAAGCAAAGGTAGCCTTTATTTTATGTTGAATTTTTATTTGACTTACAAAAAATATTTCAGAATGCTATTTAAATATATTGAAATAAGTATTTCATGTAAATAACAATTTCTCAGACCAATATAATAATACTTGAATAACGAACTATTTAGAACAATATGGAAGAACTATATTTGGAAACTAATTATGTGACTAATAAATGATTAAAATAAATGCCTACATCTTTATTCCTTTTACCATCTTTGAATCAGCGCTTAAGAATACAGAGCAGACACACACACATTTCAACAAAGTAGTTCCTTCTTTCGTTTTCACTGATCTCAAAAGAAATAAAAGTTGTTTTTCAAAAGAACATATTTCACATAAACATTTTTTTTATTTTTTTGCTTTGCACACAGAAAATTTTAATAAAGTTTCAATGAAAACTTTTGTTAATAGATTTAATATTAAAATATTAAATTTTCAATTCCATCCCATAGACTTGCAGCATTCTAATGTCTCTATTAAGACTATTTTTAGCTTGTTGATATTCAACCACCTATGTTTTACAGTTTTATTCATTTTATTCCAAATAAGCTTTCACATAAACATATTTAAAAGTACTCACGATCTTCATCTGTCTGTACTATGAGTTCTTGACTTTCCTTCCGTCCCTCAGGGTTCATGAGGATGAGTTTCACACTGACATTGGTATATGGTGACAGGTTAGTGATTGTGTGCTGAGGGTGTGAGTTGTCTGTATCCCAGCTTACTTCTTCTCGCACTTGTTCTTGTCCTCCAACTTGATAACAGTAGTGAACGGTGAGATTATAACTGTGGCAACGAGTTACATTATATCCAAATGGCTCCCAGCGGATAGTGATTTGCCGAGATTTGACCTCTACTACTTCTAGTTTTCTTGGGCCACGCATGGGATCTTTTACAAAAGAAGAAAAAAGAAGACATGAGAAAAAAAGAATTATAAAAGCTCTGGTCAAGCTCAAATGTCACAGATGTTCTTACCTGTTCCCATCATCTATCCTCTTGTTCTTGAATAATAAAATCTCCAAATCTTACCCAGGCATAAGGTCATGCAGAACAAAGACAAAAGTTTCTATTCTCATCTGCAGTGACATGTGGCCATGTGCCCAAGTTCTGATGGATGGCATATAAGATGAAATGTCAAGCTCAGTTTATGGGAGGTGTTCTTAAAAGGAAGATGTTCTCCATCTTTGTTTCTTCTTCCTTCCTATTAGCTGGATAGAGGATATGATGTGTGGTGTACTTAAATGTTAAGGATATGACACAAGGCACTTACATGTTAGGAATTCAAAGCAGTGATGAAGTTGGAACCAGGGTCCCTGATAATCAATGAGCTACCATACCACCTTGAACTTCCTTCTTCCAAAATTTTCATTAGGAAACTTGAATACTATCTTATTTAAGCATTGTTTCCTTTTGGTATCTTCAAACATTAATTTATAATGATGTCATTGGAAAACATAAGAGTGAAAGCTTGAGAATTCAACACGAATAATATAATGATGAGAGAACATGAACTTCTGAGCAGTACTCCAGATTTTTTGGGGTTTTGATCTGCATAAAATTCCGCATGGTCAATGCTAAAGTAGGTCTTGCCTATTTGTTACAACATCTTAGTATTCTTCCTTAGCCCAAGCTCCAGGTACAAAGTTTCAAACTTAGAAACCTAAATGACATGCAGGGAACATAATGGCTTCAGACAAAATATACATAGAGAAAGCTTAAGTTTCTTATTGTAATGATGATGAAAATATAGTACTACTACATAAATAACATTTATTGAACACTTACAATATACTAGGCACTATCACAAGAAATTTACCTTTCAGAGGTTTAGGAAAAGTCGAATCTAAAATGTTTTGTATTAGTATACTCATAGTTCATTTCATCCACAATTTTGATTTTTGTTTTTCTGAAGTGTAGTCATTGAATAAGAATGTAAAGAGATCTATGACTGGTAAGGGACAATAAGCATGAGAACTTGAGATATAATAGCTGTCATTATACTGGGCACTTATTATGTGTGAGTTGCTTTATATATAGTCTCTATTTCTCAAAATAATTTTGTAAGTTAAATACTTTTATTCCTAATATATAGATACAACAATTGTGGTCAGGGTAGGTTCGATAACTTGATCAGGGTCAAGGTTTGACTGAATTTAGATCTGACAACTATACAGCTGCTCTCGCTCTACTGAGGCTCTTTACCAAACTAAAAAGACTGTGATCAAAAGAAATTAGGATAGGCGGGCTCAGTGGCTCAGCCTGTAATCCCGTGCCTTTGGGAGGCTGAGGTGAGTGGATTGCCTGAGCCCGCGGGTTCAAGACCCACCTGGGCAGCGAGACCTCATCTCTACAATAAATCAAAAAATCAGCCGGGCGTGGTAGCGCATGTCTGTAATTCTGGCTACTCAGAAGGCTGAGGCGGAAGGATCGCCGGAGCCCAGCAGGTGAGGCTGCGGTGGCCGGGAGCGGCCACTGCACTCCAGTTTGAGCGACCGAGTGAGACTCCAACTCAAAAAAAAAAAAAAAAAGAAATTAGGATATTAAATTAGGATATTAAAGATATCTAAAAAACCACCTAAAACATGACCACAGAATATATAACATAATAAAGATCTGTATTTAGTCTTGAGACAAAGGTGCTGAGAATTCCTCTCCCCACTCATGATAATTCCCTAGAAGAGGGTTCCAGGCCATATTCCTCAGTCCAGTTGTACCAGACAACCCTGCGTGTACTCCAGGGTACTGGAAATTTGTCTGAACTATTATGAAAGTTCACTTATTGATTCCCATTTGTGTATAAATTCTGTGTGTCTATTTTCTCCATCATTTAGGATCCAGAGAGAACTTAGAACCATCCCCTTTACCTGCAAACTCCAACACATGAAAATAGTTAATGTGAAATAATGTTATATATGCAAGGTAGAATTTGTCTATCAGATGTCTGATCAAACCATAAAATTAGGTTAGTAATGATCATTTATGCTACCCTATCCTGTACTAGTTCTAGCAAACAAGGACAAATGTGATAAAAACTTCCATAAGGAATCCTGACTGGCATTCTCATAGAATGTTCCTTATTACTAAATTAATTTTTATATTTAAATTATGAGTATAGGAAAAATATCATAAATAAGTTATTTTAAAATAACATTGAAGGTTTTTTCCAGATTAGTGACTTTTTATGATTTAAAGGAAATGTCTAATTTTATATAATGCTTCATTAGTTGAATGTTTATAAAAACTTTTAATAAGCTCCAGATTCCATATACATGAACAGAATAACAAGTGTCTCTTTGCCCTTTTCCTTATTAATCACAGGTCTCTGCGAGGACTGTTCTAAAGCTTTTTCCTATGGTTTTCATCAATTTTACTGACTAATAAAATGACTAAAGGCTTCAGATATTAGTTTAAACAAGCAGTGCAGTTCTAACAATTTCAATGGAAAATGATTTTCCACTGCATAAGTCTACATCATTTTAGTATTCCTTAGCCAAGAAAACGCATACTTAAATTAAGTCCCAGGATTAAAACCAAAGGGTTCAGTCTGTCTACTTGTCAAGTTTTCTTAAAATGCATGCTCCCTTTTGTTTTTTTTTTTTAATACTTCTTAGAATTCCATCATACTTTCCATACGTTTGTCAAGTAAAATAGCTAAGCCTAGCACAAAACAATTACCTCTATGACCAAGGCTCTCCAAAGTCTCTATGGTCATGAATAAAAATTAACAGATAGAGACTGTATGAGTTCTAAATCTTAGATGAAAAGAGACTTGCGCTCACTGGCTTACATCTTCAAGAGCTGGATTGACCAAAGCAACACTATCATATAGAAACTTTTACAGAAAGAATAACTCCCTTTGTGACCTTTTGTGAGCCTCTGACTATGGTATATAGTTCTGTTGTGTCTACTAATATGTTGATGTCAACATGGCTGGGCTAATATCAATGGGGGTAGGGACGTATCACATCAACAGAGGGTAGGGATGAGGGCCACTTTGATTCCTACTCACTTGTCCCATTTGTGAAAAGCTTAAGAGAGAAGTTGAAGCAACACCATGACACAGGCAACAGGGTCCACCTCAAACAGAGCACTGTCATTTTCTCTTGCCAGTGCCCAAAGTCAAAGTTAGGTAAGTTGAGGAAATGGTTAGTAAATCACAGATACATACAATAACATTAATGAAATGCTGTGTGCTACCATGTACCTGTGATAGCAGCCTCCTTTACTGATAGTGTTGACAGGCCATTTCCAATGACAAAGGAACACTAGTGTCTCTTTCAACGCATCCTAAGCAAATCGCCTGATTTCAATGTTTCTCTTTTTCTTTTCTTATGCTGTTTTGCTATTCTGTATAATTCAGTTCTGATCTAGCAATGGATTTATAAGGACTACATCTTAAGTTAGTGTTTTTGTGGAAAACCATTTCTATTTGTGTGTTGCTAACTGTGGATGAGGCATTCCATAGGAACATTCAGTCTGGTAAGTTATATTTATGATCATTAAACACTTTGAAGGTATCACGGTAGAAATATATCCACACTGTAGGAAATAAATGGCAACTTCATAACCAGAAATGTATAATTTTGGTAGGCCAATTGTAACTCACACTGCAGTTTTGGAAGTAGAATATAAACACTGCCAAAAAAACTTGGCATAACATTACTACTATCCTATATGCACAATATAAATCTCTTACAGTTAAATAACCGGGCCATAAATTATATTCATAGGACCACTAGTTGTAAGATATCTCTTCCTCTTTCCTCATAATCCTGAAGACGCTACTGAGCATGCAAATCAGTGTTGAGGCCATTTCTCTTCACACTCACATGCTCGGGCCACACAGACATTTCCCCCTTCCCTAGAATGGGTATCATGACAGGCCCCATTGGCATGAATCATGAGGCCATCTGATCCACTCTGGGCCTATTGACTCATGAGAAGAGGCTACAGTGTTCTCCCTAACATAGTATACTGGCTGTTGTGCTGGAAGCTTAGTCAGGGAGCTCTCACCAATTCCCTCACTGGTGCCTGCAGCATTTTTCATTCTGTTCTCTTTCTGCCAGTTTGAGCCAGGTTTCAAGCAGATAAGTCTGACAGTTGCAGTCCTGACCTAAGGGACCAGCAGCCCAGTTCTAGCCTCCAGCACTTGAGCAGCCTATTTAATCAGTGATCCTGGCTCCTTCTACATTCAGTCCTGTTTTTTCTACGAATAAGGACAAAAACTGATTGATAGGATCAATTTCCATTGCAGGTTCAATTCACAGCTCATTTCTCTGGAACTCTGCACTTTACCTTCTATTACTACTACAGTACTTTTTCAGAAACTCAATTTCAGAACCTGTGAGATATATTTGGACGTAACTTTAGGATTCTGTCATTGATAATCAAAAACACAGATTACAACCAATGTTCCTCCTAACAGGTTTCTCTTTTCTACCTCTCCATGAACTTTATAGAGGTCTATTACAATAAAGGGAGTAACAACCAGACTGGCATGGTGGGTCCCCTTCAGAACCATCAGCTATTGTATGTCTGCCTCATCAGTCATACAAGAGGGTGGCAACATAGTAAAGTAATAGTTTCATTTGTTTTATTATTTAGTTAAATCAGAGCAAATACCTGATTAATATTATTGTAGCCCACCCGATAATTCAATATTCCTAATCAGGTATACGGCACTGTGATCAAGTGACATAACTATAGCTTTGAATTAGTTAATGCTTTCCAAAATTTAAAAAGTATCTTTGTCAGTCAAGTTGAAAGTTCTGCAATATATCCATCTTTAATTTATACTATCCTACAGGCATCTATATACCTGGTGTAACTGAATGAATTAGAACTTGTCATAATTATATAAATCTGAATATTCTCTTCCACCAGAATGCT